CCTTGAATTCTCATGGGGTGGTCCTTTTCTAGTCCCCCTCATAAACATGTCCATAAAAGAAAAACAATGAGTCCCATTTTATATCCTTTTGCTTTTTATATCTGTTAAGAGTATGGTCCACATTTTGGTACTTCTCATTTTTGTTTAGAAAATATCAAAATGCTCACTGTAACTTTAACTTTAACCTTACTCCACTGTTTCTTTTAATGTCAACCCAGGACTACCCAAGAGGGTCTAGGTAGAAATTAGTATTTGTTGATTGGCTAACCACTCTTGACATATATAGCACAGCTGTTTCTTCCTAATATTATATAGATGTGGAAAAGATAATTCAAGAATGGCAGCAATTGGTGGTCACAAAACTGATATTCCAGGAATTGATTCCAGTTATAAAACAGAAATGAAACCCAGACAGCCCTGGGGGAAAATATGTGTACAGGTGTCTCGTGACAGTAAATTCCACACCATGCCACCACCACAGCAGAGCCCCCGAGCCTTCCTTAATTCTCCTTTCTTGTGAATAACACAGAACAACAGACATTTCCTCTGCCTTGGTGTCTTTTGAAGTATTTCTTTCACAACCTTATTTTTGAAAGCGATTTTATTTCCATGTTGCAGGAGAAAAACTCAAACCTCACTGTAAAACCTTGACCAGAGGTCCCAGGCCCCGGGTTTGGCTGTTTTCGTTCATTTCAATCCACATTGCTCTTCTTTAGAAAGCACACGCACCATCATCACTTTGCTGACTCCGAAGTGTCTTTAATAATGCAGCTCAATCATCTCCAGGAATCTCACTGTGGAAGTTAATCCTGCCACATGCTCACCATCTGTCTCAGGTATTCTTCCTCGGTGTGGGCCCAGCTCTGTTTGTTACATACCTTGACTGGGAATTTGTTAGCTCACAAAGAAATCCAGGGCATGATGCTTGCCTCATTTAGTTTTGCACTCAGTAAACATTTGTTGAAAAATGGAATATCCTGAGATGGAGCCAAGCCTAGGGAGTCAGTTCCCCGTGATGTTTCTCATTCCTGAACACAGCTGGAAGCAAAACAAAGATCATTGCTTCAGCGGGCTGTCTATAATCTCCAGCCTTCCAGAAACAGACTCAAATGAAAGATAGGCTACTCCCAGCAGCTGGGTGTCTTCATAAACACCAGAACCTGAACTCATGAGGTCTCAGACTGGATGGAGGAGGAGACTGCACAGTTGATGATCAGGAAAAGTTTCTGGAGTCAGGCTTCTTAGATTTGAGCCCTGTCTCCATCATCTTCATCAGTTAGTTGACTTAGCTTTTTGTAGGCCTTGATTTTTAGTTTCCCAAATAGAGAGAGCACAACTTTCTTGTATTAGCTGCTGCTATGTAACAATATACAGCAAAAGGTGTGATGCAAAACAACAGACATGCATTACTCCACATAACTCTGTGGTTAGGAGTTTGGGAAGAGGGCCTGTGTGGTTGAGGCGCTCTTGTGACGTTGTAGGGGCTGGCTACAGCTGTAACCATCGGAAGCTTTGACTGAGGCTAGAGGAGCCTCTCTCCAGATGATGCACCATGTGACTGTAGGCAGGGTCAGCTTAACAGCAGCTGACCCAGAGCAACATGACCTATTCTCAGCAGGCCTCCAACTTTCTTCCTTTGCATCCTGTGTGTTAGAAGGAAGTCACTGGCGCCTCCCATATTCACAAGGAGAATCATGCCCTACCTTTTATAAAGAAAAGTATCAAAAGCATTTGTTACTTTAAAATCGTCACTTTCATTTCACAGGGTTGAGTGAGAATGAATTGAGATTTTAATGGCGCTGTACTTAGTGCAAGACTTAGCGCCAAAGATGTTTGTTCCTCCCTCCTACCTAGAATTATTTACCCTTTTTATAGATTGAAAAAAAAAAAAAAAAAACCCAAAAACCAAAAACATGGACCAGTTGTCAATTTGAAGGCTTTGGGGAAAAAAAAAAAAAAAAAAAAGACCCTGAATCCAAATTAGTAGCATAACCCATTAAAGTTTTCTGTAGCATGCTTGAAATAGAAAGCTGCTTGTGGATACATACTTTGATTTTTTTCATTCTTTTAAAAAACTGATATTATAATCACAACATTCCACCCTTCCCTTTCCTCCTCTTCAAACCCTCCCACAACACCTCTTTGCTCTCTTTCAAATTTACGGCCTCTCTTTTCGTTGTTATTACATGCATACTGTTTCCCCTGCCCTCAGCATTCCTAAACTGCCTATAGCTCCTATCGTAGGGCGGGGACCTCAGAGGCTGTTCTCTATCTATTTTGGTATGTCTATTGCTGTCCTTGTCCAGCTCATGTTTAGGTAGCCTGGCTGCTAGGTTTCCTTGGAAAAGAGTGACATCTATGTGACAAGCTGGTGCTGGCAGTGGGTGGTGACCTCTGAAGGGTTGCCTCAGGAGGAGGGGCTGCATCTGGGAGAAAGGGTCTACTTGCAATGGGCATTATCTTATCCCAACACGCCCGCAAGGGCCTTGCCAACCTTGTGGTGTGAGTGGGCATTCTTTTTGGTATATGCCCCAAAGTGGTATTGCCGGGTCTGGAGGTAGATTGATTCCCAATTGCACACTCAAGGCACAAGGACATTTGCTCAACTATGTTCATAGCAGCATCACTCGTAATAGCCAGAGATGCCCCTCATCTGAAGAATGGAATAGGAAAATGTGGTACATTAACACAACGGAGTACTACTCAGGGGTGAAAAACAGTGACATCTTGAAATCTGTAGGCAAATGGACAGAACTAGAAGAAGCCATCTTGAGTGAGGTAACCAAGACCCAGAAAGACAAATATAATATGTACTCACTCGTACGTGGATGTTAGACATAAAGCAAAGGACAACCAGCCTACAGGATGTGACCCCAGAGACGCTAGTAACAAAGAGGACCAAAAGAGACATACATGAATCCAACCTAGGAAGGGGAAAAAACAAGATCTCTGGAATACATTGGGAGTGTGAAGGGCAGGGGGCAGGATGGAAGGGGAGAAGGGAGGAGAGGGAAGGGAGGAGGGGAGGGGACCGGGGAAAATGTATAGCTCAATAAAAAAATAATTATTATTCATAAAATGTTTGTCATCTGGTCATGGCCCTCTGTGCCTGTAACGCCAGCCTTACTGACAGCACCTCCGCATCACAGGGAAGTTTGTTTGACTCTCTCTGTTTATCAGGTTGCACGCAGGTGCTGCCTGTCCACCCCACCATAAGGATGCAGCATAAGGAAGAGGGTCAGTAATTTGGTTGAAGAAAGAAAGACCAAGCCGTTAAGCTAGCTAAGCCACTTCAAATACTGCATCATTATAAGTCAGTGTTTTAGGTCGACTAACTTTAAGCTGAAGAATTTCTTACTCAAATGGAACCAAAGAGGTATTTTCTTTAAATGTGTGACTTGTGAGGGGGCGGAGGGGACTAGAAATGTTGACTAAAGATGCCTTTTGGGATATTTAAACCCACCCTTCCCCTTTTGTCTCATTTCTTCCTTTATTATTTGATTTAGTAAATGTTTAATCATGAATTTTAAATGACTTTAACTTTAATGCTTTTTCCACCTAAATGACTGCTTTAGGATTCAGAATATGTATCTTTAGTTTACCTTTAAGTAACCACATAATGGTTCTTGTAGACATAACCCTAGAGTATTACTGTTTCAGGTTCCTTCTCTTGACCTCTGTTGTCTAGACAGTGCATGTCTGTGTTTATTAGGGATTTCACAACACACGGTTACTATTTTGCTTACAGTGGTCCGTTATTTTGTTAAGTGATTTAAAAAATCATATGCATATTGTTCAGATGGTTTGCTCATTTTAAAAATGCTTTGTGCTTTTTTATTTTATATGCATTGGTGCTTTGTCTGCCTTTATGGATTGCAGAGAGTTGGGAGCTGCCATGTGGGTGCTCGGAATTGAACCCTGGTCCTCTGGATGAACAGCCAGTGCTCTTAACCACGGAGTCATCTCTCTAGCTCCTATTTGTTCCTTTATATAGACGTATCTAGAGTTTTCCTTCTGCACAAGGGCCTTTCCTTTATTACTTTCTATAGCTCTACTCTGCTATTTGATGAATTCTTCTGCTTCATACGTCTGCAAAAGGTCTTACTTCATTTTTACTTATGGAAGACATTTGCTGGCTGACGAATTCTACTTAACAGTATTGCTTGCGTGCGCTGGTCCCAATGAGTAATCTACTGTCTTATCTTTGCAGCTCTGGTCTTATTGCCCTAGCTCCTTTGGCCTCCCTGAAGCTGCAGCTTTTTCTCTCCTGTCCAGACGATTGGGTTCTGCCTGGGACTGGAGGCTCTCTACACAGTGAGCTCAGTCGCTTACACTGTACTCACTTCATTTTTCCCTTGATTCAGGTAGATATCAACACTCTAGACTCTTCACTGTGTGAAAACCATTGTTGTTGTTGTTGTTTTTTTTTTCCTGTTTCTTTTTCTGCTTAGACTTTATCTAATGCACCAGGATAAATTTGATCCTTCATACTCTTTTGTTTTTACTTGTTCATTTGTTTTTTTTTTTTTTTCTGGAAGAAGAACTTCTGAATTGTCAAGACAAAGTGATAAATGCTTAAAATATTATAACTAACTTTTGACTGTAAAACTCTCCTCAGAATTGACCTATATTTCCCAGTAACTAAAAATTATCAACTCATTAAGAAAGGAGCCTATTTAATGCCATGAATGTTTGATGTTGTTTCTTTTCTTACAGGGAACAGAAAACATTCAAAGTGGATTTTTAAATCTTTGCGCATTAACAATAAATCACAAAATGTGATCCTGAACAAAATGCTTCAAGAGACAGAGGAAAGAAAACTGACCTGCCATTTTGAAACGCTGGTCTAAAACGAACCGTTCTTGTAGGAAGTTACAACTGGAAAGTTTTGCTTGACTCTTAATACACCCAAATGAAAGGAACTGTCAACTCGTTTCTCACCATGACTGGGATTATGTGAGATTATCCGTTATCTTGACATGATCACCAGGGAAGGGAACACAGGAGAGTAACTGAAGGACGCTGGTCAAGATGACTTCCGAAGAAATGGCAGCTTCTGTCCTCAACCCTGTGACTCAGAGGAAAGTGGCCTCTGTCCAGTCAGCAGTGGCAGAGGACAAGAGTGAAAAGGTCTCAGAAGATACCGGTGTTCCAAAGGCATGTGCTGTCAGGCACAGCGGCCAGATCCCTAATACCATCTCACAGTGGGGCAAACCTGAGGCCCAGCCTTCCAGAAGTGACTTCTCTCAGTTCCTCCCAAGAGCAAGTGGAGGAGTAATGAGTGATGAGAACCACAATGAAAAGTGCTGGGAGAAAAACCTACCAGATTCTGTGAAAAACCACGCCGTTAACTGCAACAGCCTCTTGCAAAGCCACCAGTGTGACCTTCCTCAGAGCCAGCTTTGTGTAGCCTGTGACTCCGTCACAGGAGAGGACCTGTGTTTGCCAACTGGAATTTCTTCTCCACTGGAAAGGGAGGCGTTCCCTGGAATTCAACTGGAGATGGATGCTCCTCCCATGGATGTAAGCCCTTTGGGAAAGGAGACTGGAATGACAGGGGCCAGCGGACCTCACCCCGACAGCAACAAGGCAGTATTTCATTTCCGTTATGAAGCTGACAGAACAATGTCAGACGCTTTCCACACCCTGTCAGAAAAACTAATTTTGGATGACTGTGCAAATTGTGTGACTCTCCCCGGGCAGCAACAGAAGAAAAATCACATGGCGTATACTTATAAACTAGCGGGACTGACAAGAAACTGTGGCATCGAGGATGGGCAGTGGCAGTGTGATCATTGCAGCTCACTGCATAACAAATACCTGTGCTTTGACAGTTCCTGCCAGCAGGCTGATGACCTGGTCTGCTCAAGTGGTAGAGTTTGCAGGGAGGGCCTCACTCACAGTCTACCTGCAAAGGCTTTTCTGAGCCCTTTGGAGGATTTCTCTGACAGTTGTGAAGATGGAGACGAGTTTTTTAAAAGCAAAAAGGAGCGGTCCACCTTGTTAGTCAGAAGGTTTTGTAAAAATGACAGGGAAGTTAAGAAGTCTGTATATACTGGGACTAGAGCAATCATGAGGACACTGCCTTCTGGCCATATTGGGACAGCTGCTTGGAACCATGTTGTTCAGAGGAGAGTGAGGCTCTTAGGACCTTGTGGAGATGTAATGGAATCTCTGTCAACAATGGATGGAAGGCCACGTGGGAGCCAACGTCTACCTGAGGCCCAGTGGTGTCTGGTAAGAGTCTGTGTTTCTCCCATCCTTTCGCTCCCTTCCTCATTCCCCTTTAGGAGTTTTTATATGTGGTTTTACAACATAGGCCCTACATAGCTGAGGGACTTGCTATGTTTATGGCCTAGCTTATCCTTGAACTCATGGCCTTTCTGATTGAGCCTCCTGAATCTTGAGATTACAGGTATGTGCACACCTGTTTCTTTCCATTATTTCATTAAACTTGACTTTTTAAAAAGTAACTATGAATTTCTACTGCTTTAATTAAAAGAGAAAGCAAGGTGTCAAAATATGATTCTTAGAGGAATTACTTGTAGTTATTGGGAAATAGATATTCCCAAGTCTAAGTTGACTTTCCAGCAATATAGGTCATAAAATATACACAGGTCTATGTAGGGAATGGGGAAGTTAGAGATTTTCTGATGACAGAAAATACTTTGTCCATTAGTTTTGGAGATGCATGAGATGCATTCCCAAGGTTTTTTTGTTTGTTTTTTTGTTTGTTTGTTTTTGTGCTGCGTGATCTACTGTGGCCTTTAGCTTTACAGGCCTGAAGGAGTCTACATCTTGAGGGTTCCACTTCATAGACAAAGATCTCTTTTCCTCTCTTCTCTCTTAGGCTGTGTGTGTGCTGTACACTCCTTCAGTGGGTGTGTACCCTTTCACCAAATGAGAGAGAAAACATTAATAATGGAGAAAATTATGTTGACTTACATTTATGAGACACAAGATTGTTTTGAAATTGTGAGATGGTAACTTAAATACATCTTTACTGCCACAATGGACCATTGTTACCTAGAAATGTGACAGCTAACTAGCTAACTGAATTTCCAAGCAGTGAGGAATGTAAGTGGAGCATGACTTGCTTAGGACTTAATTACGACATTGTTAGCCCCATGTTCTAGAACGTCCCTCTAATCTGGGCAAATGGAGAAAACTGGTCTCCCTAAATAGCCATAATATTATAACATATCCACCACAACTATGATATGATATGAAAATGTGCTATTTTTATTGGTTGCAAGATCAGTTACACCTACTTCTACTTAGGTTTGTTATAGATATTCATAATTAAGGAAATGCTAAATTTTCACATAAGGTTACTGAAAATATTTTTTTTATTCTCATCTAAGTTTCCAGGCCCTACAAGAATCTAGGTTTTGCTCTGGGCCCCATCTGTATTGCTGATGACAGAACCACATACTTTACCTATTTCTTGCTTCTTTTTCTTCTTCTATTTTTTTCCCCCTTGTGATAGAGTCTCGTGTAGTCCAGGATGGTACTGAACTTACTGAATGGACAAGGCTGGCCTTGAACTCCTGATCTTCCTGTTTCTACCAAGTGATGAGATTACAGGATTGCACCACCATTCCCCAATCACTTATTCTTGTCCTGGCTATACATTCTTACTTCCTTCAGCCATTCTCTATGGGAAATTGTTTCTCGAACTTTCACATTTCAGTTCTTCATACTTCTTTTGTTAACCTGGTCCTAGATAAACATTCTTTTTATTGAAATACCACTGGTGTGTTTTTACCTTGGTTATCATCATTGATCAAGAAGGCTAGCATTGCTCAAGGGGCAAGGGTGCATGGATTTCCCTGGGAAGGGGAAATAAAGGAGGTCTCCTAGTTGGACTGGGGGGAGGGTGGGCATGGGAACTTGAGGAATCCAGTTGTGGGTGGGCAAAGGGAGACGGTGCTTAGAGAGATGCCTGGAAAAAGGGGCTTTACAGAGTCAGGTAGAAGCCTGATGCAAGGGAAACCTCCACGAGTCTGTAAGACTTCTGGCAGGAATGGATGCATAGCCTGAACAGGCCATCCCTGTGACTGAATTGGTGGCTATTCCGGTTGTCACCAGAGAGCCTTCATAAAGTGACTGACAGAGACCCACCAAACACTCCCATTCATTTCAGTGTCTGCTGATCATCCCATTCTCCCTTGTTTGAGACATTTCAGACTTGGGTGTATTATGCTGATTACAACCATGGACCCATACTACAGTCTGGCGGAAATGCTTAGCAATTTGGCTCAGCTGACTTATATTCATTTGCCTTGGGTCTGTAGTCATTTGCCTGCATCTGAAAGCGAGGTATCCCCATGGTACACTCCCATTCTGTTTTCTGATTGCTTCACGTGTACCCTGCCTGGTTGAACACTCGGGTTGTAAACTGACAAAGGGCAGGGAGAGAGCCCTATGCTTCCTCGCCTCTATATAATAATGCAAGCACAATGCCGGATGCATTATGACCATGCCAAGAACAATGACAATGGCATGGTTGGGAACAGACTCTGGAGTTAACCTAAATTTAAATTCTGGCTTGGGATCCAAAAGTGATTGACAGGTCAATCTCTTTGCTCCTAATCACCTTTCATGTAAACCAGGCATAAAGGTACCATTGTGGGCCAAGCTACAGTGAGATGCTATCCTTCACACAGTGCTGAAAGCAGTGAGAGCTCCTGTCCTGACCTTTAATTGTCTGCTCATTGGTGGACTCATTCTCACCCTGTTATGCTCTTTGGTGACTTGCAGGGAAGTTTAACCAGTATGAATTCCAATGTTCAGTTTATCCTCCATAGCTACAGGCTTTGCATTCATGAACCCATCCGATGTAGATTGAAAGTATCTGAAAAACTTTGCTAGGACTGTTGTTCAGTGACAGAGTGCTTGGCTATCACGTATATAGCCCTGAGTTTAAACTCCAGGAGCCACCTCCTCTGTCCTACTCACAACATTTAGCCATGTCTGGTGGCCTAGACCTATAATCTCAACTACTTGGGAGCCCGAGGCAGGACAATTGTAAGTTCGAGGTCACTTCGTGAGACCCTGTGTCAAAATAAATGCAAAAAAATGCCTGAGGATATAGCTCAGTGGTTTTGTGCTTGCCTAGCATATGTAAGGCCCTAGGTTCAGTTCCAAGTAACACACACACACACACACACACACACACACACACAGTTAGAAGCATATATAGTTGTTTGTTTTTTTTCTTGTCATTATTCCCCACACAACACAGCACAATAATTCAAAGTGTGTGCAGGGTAGGTAGCATACAATACTATACAACTTTATATAAAGGACTTGAATATCTGCAGTTTTGAGTTTCCATGGGGTCCAAGGAGCAACTGTGTTATCTTAGCCTATAACGTGACCTCCCAGTCCTTCCTATGCATTGCAGGCCAATGTTACTCATCTAATTAGTTCTTTGGCATTACATTTTTACTTTTTTCCCCCCGTGGGCATGTTGATCAGAACAGTCCAGTGAATTTATATTTGCACAGCTGTGTGGAGAGAATAGGTTTGGACGAAGACATTAATGAGGATCCATGCTTGCAGACTAACTAGATTGCTAGCCTCCTCCTGCTTGTAAAACATTAAAGCTCACCCCCCATTCATTCTCCCGTGTACTCCCTCCTGCTATTGGCTCAACAAAGTGCAGTCTTTGGCAAATGGCAAAGGTCTGTAGGGTAAAGATTTCACTAGGAGTGTTTATCCTGTAAAGGGAAAAAAATCTCTCCATGCCTGAATCTCCTCGAGTTCAAAGCCCAGAGTTATCTTACAGGTGGAATGACCAGCTGAAGGTGCCAGCTTTTGTCTTGACTAACCTAACCCTAGCTCTACTCAGCATCGGTGTCAGGGGAGCTGGGTGGTGGAGGTAGAAACCTCACCAGCTGCTATGCTAGCACTTCAAGGGTTTCCCATCTTTGATCCTTGGGGGGGGGGGCAGTCACTCTACATGAATATATGTGGCAAAGCAGAGAAGGTTCATGTTGAATATTAAAGAGAATAGGAAATAATTTAAGGAGCTATTATGTAGGAATATATCTCACTTTTATTTATTTATTTATTTTTTCCCGAAACCAGAACATTTAATTTAAGACTGACTGAAATCCTTAAGATGAACTGGATGCTGCAACAGCTGCCCTCTCGGGTTTAGGTGTTTTCCCTTCACAGAATCCGTGTGTGAATCTTCGATAAACAGTCTTTAGGTGCCTCATACGCCCAGTCCCGGTAGTGTTTCGCCGCTTAGCCGTGGCACTCCAGTTAAACTTTCTCTTGCTGCCACATTTGCCACAGGTGAACTTCTGAAGGTGGTAGGCCTTGGAGGCACAGTGGCGGCACAATGGCTGCGTCTTATTGTGACGCTTTCCAAAGGATGATGTTCCTTTCATCATCTTGCTTCTGCCGCCGAGGCCAAAGAGACCAGAGGAGAAAGCACTTCTCGAATATATCCCACTTTTAAACATCTGAGTAGAAAAACTGTAAATGAAAAAGATGGGCACAAAGAGCTTCTGTGACTGCTTGCCTCTCTCAAAAATGCTGGTTCTAGACTACTAAGCTCCGAATATTAAACTAAGAGGCAAGGATGGGTTGAGAAGTAATACCTTTGTTGGATAAATGTGCTTGAAAGAGAGGAGGGTGAAGGGTGTGTGTGTGTGTGTGTGTGTGTGTGTGTGTGCACGCGCATGTGCGTGCACACACACGAGCACTGGGAAATGAACCTATAAACCCCCTGCTAGAACTCTACCACTGAGCTATTTTCTTTCAAATGGAGTTAAACCAAACCTCAGGAAAAAGCTATTGCCTCTGATATGTGACCTCTTGGTAATAAATTCATGCCCTAAGCTGTAACTCATATAAATGACGGAATCCTTTGAGCCTCACTGTCCACCCTAAGAGGTACCTTTGAAATAGCGTCAAGGCTTTGTTTTCTGCTTTAAGCATTTGGTTGCCCTGGAGATCAGTGACAATTTGAACCTTGAAATAATTAAAATTTCATTGGGTGCTTAGACTAAGCTGGAAGCCAGTGCCTGGTGAGCTGCCCGGTAACTTCTTCCTTTCCTGGGGCTTCAGCAACATTTATGACATGGGATTTGGAAGAAGCTGCACTTTCCTGCAGTTTGCTCTGAGAAAGTGGGTTCAGCTAGCCCTGTACAGTGCAGCTATGTCCAGTGCATCAGTGATGCATCAGTGATGAGCTGTCTGAGGCCAGCCTTGGGATGACAGAACTGCACACCTTAATTGATTAGCTAACCCAGGACAAGCTGGGACAGCATTAGCATTAATCCATCCCTCCTGGTCTCTGAAGTTACTCTAGCTCTTTGGCCTAGGAACTGATAAAAGGTGGAATGAAAACCTTCCACTTGGACTCTAGTTTGAGATGTACACCGTTTTAGCTACTACTACTCTTAAGGCAGCATTGGGACAAGGTCAGCTAGGACATTTCCCCCCTTTCCTGCATAAATGAGGATATCAACTTCAGAGACCTATCTCTTAGAATGACCATTTATATGTAGTCTGAAAATGATCAGAGCCAATGGGCAAGGACAATACCATCAGGACCTGGTCTCATCCTTGACCTGCATTTTACAGGGTAGGACCTCAGGATGCCATAGTCATGAGCAGTGAGCGTTTTCCTCTCTGGGAACATGCAGACAGTAGACAATGGGGCTCATGGACATCTTGGGGTGATGGGGTGGTTTCCACCCTGGTGACCAAGTGATTCAGCATTCAGGGGCTTGAGACATCATTGCAGGACTGGGTGTGACCATCCTCTGCCCACCATGACATGGTTCGGTCCTCCCTGAAAAACTGTTCTCAGATGGGGATGCTGACTCATGCTCTGGCCCTCAAAAGCACCGAGACACCCACATGATGCTCCCTATGGGGCTCCAGACACATGTAGAGCTTGAGTACAAGCTCCTAACTCTTGTACTAGGCCGTTACCTTGACCTCTAACCCCTTCCCTGTGCAGGCTCTCGCCCCGCAACCCTTCAGAAAGCGCAGCAGAAACCCTACAGCCTTCAGCAAGATGAAAACCTGCAGATATCCCAGGGATGGGAGAAGATACCCCTTCTCCTTTGAAGCTCAAACTGTGTCTCCTTGTTTGAGGGAAGGAGTGCTCAGATGCCTTCTCTTCTTAAACATCTTTGTTGAGATGAGGTTTTCCCATTTGTACTCAGAGATAAGTGTACCCTTCACCACAGTCAGTCTGGCTCACTTTCATACCCTAAAAGAAACCCTTTGGTGTCACCCCAACCCCTGTACTCTTTTACCCTATCCACTATTCTTTCTGTCTCTATAGAATACGCCATTCTGGGTTTTCATACACCTGGACTTACAGGGTATCTGCTATTCCGGGGACGTAGCTTTAGCATTTTCAGGCTGGTTGACACTATAGCATGTGTTACTGCTTTGTGAGGGTTATTGTGTGATAATATTCCATTGCATTGCGTTTAACCACTCATCAGTTGTCGAGCATCAGGCTTTTCCCACTCTGAGGCTGTTATGAGCAGTGCTTCTGTGAACTTGTTTTCTTTGAAGGGCTAGAGGTTGAACTCAGGGCCTCTTACTTGCCAGGCAGATCCTCTACCACTGAACTGTATTCCCAGCCCCGTGGATGCTCAAACACAGGCTTTTGTGAGAGCACCGTTTCCTGGTCTTGTCAGTACACACCCAGGCATGGTGCCAGGGCCCATACCTCTTCATTTGATCTTTTCAGGAATCACCAGTTTCCTCAAGCATCTGCTTCATCCCTACAGCAATGTGTGGGGTACCAATGTTTCCACATCCCTAGCAGTGTTTGTTGTGGTCTCTGTCTTTGCATATAGCTATTCTACTTGGATGTGAATTGATAATTTTATTATGGCTTTTATTTGCATTTTCCTCATCGTTAATGGCTCTGAGCACTTTCTCAAGTGCTTGTTGGCCTTTTGTGTTTCTCTGGAGAAATGTCTAGCCAAATCCCGATACTGAACCCAGGTCCTCACACATGCTAGGCAAGTACTCAACCACTGAACAACCCCAGCCTCTTTGTCCATTTTAAAATTGAGTTGTCTCTCATTTCAAGTTCCTTGTATATTGTGGATGTAAGTCCATGATGAGCTACATGATTTACTATATATTTTTGATCAGGGTATAGATGTAATGAGTGTAGGTCTTAAAAGTGGCAGAGCCGGTTAACAGCTTTAATACCCAGTGAAACTTGTTAAATATGGACATCAGTTTATTTCTCCTCTTTCATGCTCTTTCTCACGTCACTCTGCAAGCCACAGCTTTGGTTATGAGTTATCCTCCTCCATCTTACCTGTTCCCTGGTCTATCCTTAACTCCAATTTGCACAGCTTTCCATTCTTCTCTCCACATTTGCCCTCAGATTTTTATAACACAGATCATTTTTCCTGTTAAACAAATTGTGTTTCCCAGAGGAAAGGTTGGGGAGTCGTAGTTTCGGTGCACAAATGAGCACCCCATCTGAAGGACTTCCTGATGGCTCAGGTGGAGGTGGATGCTTACATGACAAAGTGCTCTGTTACACGCCAACCTCAACGATGGTGAACCAAGTAAGGCGTCCAAGGTGCAAAATTAAGGAGACATTGTGTGCTTGGGTCTCACAGGTGGCAACTTTATACTCAACAGTGACTGCCTCCTTAAACGTTGAATGCTGGGCAGCTCAGGTGTCTTACTTTGGTCCCAGCCCTGAGCACAACAGGATTTAAGAAAGCCTGAGGCTTACATACGTTATATCATCTTCTCAGTTCAGGAATGACCTTCCACAGGGTCCCATCAGCCTCAGCAAGGATAGTCTTAAAACACACATAGGAGGGGCTCTTACATTTTTTTAAAGGTTGAAAAAAAAATCTAAAGAAGACTGTTTCACAGCAAGTGGAGATTATACGAAACTCAAGTGTTGGTGGCGGTAAAGGTTTTAATAAAGGTCTTTGGAATGTTGCCATCACCATCATTGCTTTCCACATTGTCTACAGCTGCTTTCACATTGCAACACCGGAGCTTGGGTGCTGTAAAGGCAAAACCAGTCTTTGTTCTGTGGTCTTTGACAGTAGAACTTTGTCTTTTCTAGGAGACTCCTTTATACCGGGCCAGCTCCTTTGGGTCTGGTTTCCTGTCACAGTCTCTCAAGGGTCTGCTGGGCCAGCCCCCCCCCACACCCTACACCTGGTCTACAGTTTCTTTGATGGTCAGTGCTCTATACATTAATTCTTGAAGGTCTCTATAAATTACAAACAGAGAGACACTGTTTCTGCCTGCTCTCTCTCTCTTCCTCTCTCTCTCTGTCTCTCTCTCCTTCCCAGGCCAACTGCAGACTTCTTAGCCAGCCTCCTCTTGACAAAGCCCAGAGAGTAGCTCATTTTGTGCTCTGCCTAGAACAAAATTGGGATTTTTCCATTGTAATTCAAAGGGATCTTTTTCAGGCCTGTGAACCCAGACATTGTGCTCTTACCTCTTCAGACTTGGCCAGAGAGACAGAGAAGGGTCATATTGGCACCTCTTTGTCTCTGGCTTCTTTTCTCAACTGGCTGTAAAAACCCTGGAAGGTTTTCCAGAGGTGGAGACAGAGAAAAGAAGAGAAAAGAATCTTCCTTCTGAAATTCTGTTTCTGCCCTTCGCAGACAGACACACACACACACACACACACACACACACACACACACACACACTATCCTTACAGGGCAGGTTCTTCATTGATCAGGAGTCCTACTTTGAGACCAAGGGACAGCACACTGTGGTTTTAAGTTGGGAAGATCATTCTTGGGGTTTGAAAGGTGTCTGGCCAATTTCTTGGATTATCTGACCCGGTTACTTTTGACAGTAGACCTGAGACAGACCTCTACCTGAAAAGACCCAAGACCAGGTCCAGTTCTGCCATTAGCCGCTGAGTGCCCTTTAGGAAGTCACGTTAGAGCCTGAGATTTTGTTTACATTGAGTATAACTGTAGAGACACATTTGCCTGAGCGCCAGTAATAGTGGCTATGCCCCCTTGGGCGTGGTTACAGGTGCGAACTTGACCAGATAAAGGGAGAGCATAAAAAACCAGGGGTCCCTTTGATCCCAGAGGGCATCTGGGAGACAGGATCTACACCCTTGGAACTCCACGGCAGTCAGTCACTTGTTTTCTGTGTAAGTTCTTTTCCCCAATAAAACACCATCAATTATTCTACCGGGTCTGGTTAATTCGTTACCACCCGATTATATCTGGCGCCCAAGGGGCATGGCCACTGTTACAGGTGCGTATCGCTACATATAACAAGTGAAGGCAGCTGTATGTATATTAATTGACTTCTATTTGTCGAAAACTCTGAGTATAATTTGCATGTGTAATTTAACAAATTGTAAGTTGACTCCAGAAGCCCATCAGTCAGCCTCTGAGGTCCA